TGACAGTTGGCTGCACTAAAATAAACCTTATAACTCATCCACTTCTTGTATATATGCCCTAGGGCCCTTGATGGTCCTAATCAATCTTACCTACGATCACAAAAAACAATATTAGTCGCTTTGGATTATTCAAAATCTTCAATGTCACATAAAGAACATATTTTGCCATTAGGGTTTGTTTGCGTACTACTCTCTTGGGATCAGATATATATTATCTTTTCCAAACTATTGAATATGCAAACATCATATCTGCGTTTTCATAAGGATATGCATATCATATCATACAGTTGCAGCTAATAACTAGTTAGCTGGGGTTACCGAGAAAAGGTCGAAACCAAATTCCTTGGACGAAAACATCATTTTTGCATTTTTGTAAGGAGAGAAATACTAAAGAAATTATCTCAAAATAAGATTCTTTATGAACTTTCTGTCACCTCACAGTTTAACTTTCATTTATAAGTTAACATTATAAAACATTGTGCCATAAATTGTTCGAGAAATCCAACTTTTAAAAGAATCTCTTACCATTTCTCTTTCTGAAGGATGCATATCATATCATAGAGTTGCAGCTAACTGGCTATAGCTGGGACACTGAGAAAAGGTCGACACTAAATTCCTTGAAAGGATAAAAATGGATGGTTCTTAATCCTAAACATTCCCTTTTACGTTGGTCCCCCTACATTGAAATACGACAAAAAATGAAATGAAATGGCCAAATAGCTAGGTCATGCTCAGCAAAACCTATAGGGAGAGAGTGGGTAGGGTTTCGAAACTGGCAAAAGCTAGGATGGACAAAATTCTTGGTGCAGAGCTAGCATAGATCATGTCCCTTGACAAAGTTATTCATGCATGTGGATTGGTGGTTATTGGATAGGAGAAGAACTTTCAACAGCGTGAGTGATTCATGAGCGTAGCGCCTAGGTGAAACTTTTTTATGTTGTTTCAGAACATTCTTTATTTCGAAGTTATCATAAAAGATATATTAATTATAAATAACTTGTAGTTTAATTAGTTAAAAATAATCGTCTTTGCGTTTGACATGCTGCATTCAAATCATCTTTCTCGTAATTTAGTGTAGATTATTTAATCAAAAAATAGTTGTACTAACTACAATATAACGGTCATAATCTTCATATTATGAGTTCAAAGTGTAAACCATATGAAATTATCTAAGGAAAGAATTATACAGAAGTAAGAAGGAAGAAAGAGATAGAGAGAGAAGAAGAATGTCGAAGATATTAGAGAGAGAAAACTGTTGAGAACTATTATATCTTTTCTTATCAGTTACAAATGAATTGTTACAAGCTATATATCCTAACACTTTGTAGCTTACACTCTAAGTAACAATATAACCAACTTATCTATCTTCATGATCTTTTGACACTTGTCCATTTCCTACCCATTGGATCTTAATACTCCTAACATCCCCCCACAAGCTCAGGGGCAGAGAATGTGAGCCTGAGATTGGCACAATGAGTTTGAAAAAGAGGAGTAGATAAGCCTTTGGTAAGTATATCAGCAAACTGCTCGGTGGAAGAGACAAAATGCACCTGCAATTCCTGTTTTGCTATCCGCTCACGAACAAAATGTACATCAACCTCTATGTGTTTGGTACGTTGATGCTGAACAAGATTTAAGGTCAGTGTTATAGTAGATAGGTTGTCACATAAGAGAATTGGTTTTTCCACAACTAGAACCTGCAGAAAATGTAACAATTGGTGAATCCAATCAAGTTCAGCAGTTGTAGTAGATAAAGCCCGATACTCAACTTCTGTGGATGAGCGAGAAACAGTTTGTTGCTTCTTAGATGACCATGAAATAGGATTAGATCCCAAAAATACAACCATTCCAGTAGTCGATCGCCTATCATTAGGATCCCCGGCCCAATCTGCATCACTATATGCAGTAATATCCAGTGAACTCTTGACATAATGAATGCCACAGCCTTGAGTAGCTTTTAAGTACCTAAGAATTCGTTTCACTGCCATGAAATGGGACTCCATAGGATTTTGCATAAACTGACAAACTTGATGCACTGCAAAGGCAATGTCAAGTCGAGTGAATGTTAGGTACTGTAAAGGGCCAACTAAACTGGGATAAAGGGCCAGATTATTATAAGGTTTGCCATCATCTTTGAGCAATCTGTTGTATGGCAAACAGGGAGTGGCACATGGTTTAGATAGTAACATATCAGCCTTAGTTAGCAACTCTGTAACATACTTACGTTGAGAGAGAAATAAACCATCTGGCTTCTGTAAAATCTGAATCCCCAGAAAATAGTGGAGGGGTCCCAAATCTTTAATATCAAACTCTCGGGTAAGGGAATGAATGACCTCAGTAATTGCTTGTGTGCCACTGCCAGTTATAATAATGTCATCTACATATAGGAGTAAAATCACCACATAACTGTCAACAACCTTTACAAAGAGTGAAGAATCGGCATATGTGGATTTGAATCCCAAGGATGGGAGAAATCGAGTAAACCGTTCATTCCAGGCCCTTGGTGCCTGTTTTAAGCCATATAAAGATTTATGTAACCTGCACACATAATCTTCATGCTTGAAATCAACAAATCCAGGTGGTTGAGTCATGTATACTTCCTCTTGCAAGATACCGTGGAGAAAAACATTTTTCACATCTAATTGCCGCAATGTCCAACCAAAATGTGCAGAGAGAGCTAGAACTAGTCTTACTGTTGTAGGCTTCACAACCGGACTAAAGGTTTCCCCAAAATCAATACCTTCTTCTTGATTAAACCCTTTACCTACTAGGCGAGCCTTATACCTCCCAATAGAACCATCAGCATTCTTTTTTATCTTAAAGACCCATTTACAGCCTACTAAGTTTTTATGTCTTGGTAGAGGTACCAGAGACCATGTACCTTGATGATGCAATGCTGAAATCTCATCTTTCATAACTTCATGCCATACCGGGGACTTTAATGCAGACTTATATGTGGCAGGCTCAACTTGATTCAGATCAACCCCTCCATGTTCATGTATAGCAGCTAAAAGAGCAATTTTCTTGGAGATACCACTCTTTGACCGTGTCTGCATAGGGTGGAGATTCATTGGTGGGATAGATAGAACCACTTGTAGGTGTTCAGGTCGGAATTCAGGGACCACAGGAAGTGTAGGAGGTAAGGGTTGTGTAACTGCTGCACCAATGGATTGATTAGAGACTGATTCGGCGGAGTGTGAACTTGTAGCTGCCTCGGATATGGACTGGAGCTCAGGAGAGACTTGATGCATATCAGTATTTGACAGAGGACTCAATATAGTATCGGAACTTGAGTCTTCAGGAGAATCAAAGGATTGACCAAAGGTGGAAAGATTCTGAGTTGGTGGTAAGACAAGCACACTATTTTGATCAAGTATGGGAATAGGTGAAGGAATGAGTGATGGTAATAGTGCAGAACTAACTGATTGATATTTGAGAACCAAGGATTTGTAAGGAAAATCAGTTTCATCAAAAATCACATGTCTTGACACATAAACTTTCTTACTAGATACATCATAGCAGAGAAACCCTTTATACTTAAAAAGCATAGCTTAAGAATACACATTTTGTTGTTCTAGGTTCGAGTTTTGTGCTAGTGTATGGTCTTAACCACGGATAACATGAACACCCAAAAACTTTCAAGTGGTGGATCTCAGGGAGAGTATTATGTAGCAACTAAAATGGTGATTTATGATCTAATGTAGATGAAGGCATTCTATTAATCAAATAAACTGATGTTTGACAGGCAAATGACCAAAACAGAGATGGTAAAGAAGCAGTTTGTAATAGGGTAATGGATGTTTCAATTATGTGTCTATGTTTTCTCTCTGCAGTGCCACTTTGTTCTGGTGTATAAGGGCAGGACATCTAGTGACTTACTCCTTTATCAATAAGAAACTGTTGAAATGCCTTACTTGTATACTCACCACCACCATCACTTTGAAGAACTTTTATGGATGTATGAAACTGATTGAAAATAAAATTGTAAAAGGACACAAAAGTTGGGAAGACATCACTTTTATTGCAGATTGGAAAAATCCAACAATACTTGGTACAATGATCAATGAAAGTCACATAATACTTGAATCCCTCTAAAGACACACAAGAAGCAGGGCCCCACACATCACTATGAACAATACCAAATGGATTTACAGACTTTGGAACTAAGGGAGAGAATGGAAGTTTACTAAACTTGCCCTCTAGACAGGTTTAACACAGAGAAGGAGTACTATCAGCAACACAAGAAATTTTGGAAGTGCTTAACATCTGAGAAACTATTTGATTGGACGGGTGACCAAGCCTCTTATGCCAAATACTGACAGTGACTTGTTTGCCAAGAAAAGTTACAGGTTGGCCTTTATTGTTGACTAGAGGAGAGCACGATGAGATGATGGGATACAATCCATTGTTACACAGCCATTTGTAGAGAGTCCTCCCTGTGGTTTTGTCCTGAATCCAAAATGAAAAAGCATCGAAGATCAACCAGCAGTTATTATCCAAACAGATTCTATGTACAGACAACAAGTTTTGTGATAGTTTCGGAACATATAAGACATAATTGAGCTTTATAGGCTGCATTGGAGTTGATAAGAAAGATGAACCAATGTGAGAGATAGCTAAACCTTCACCATTAGCAGTCTGGATTACTTCATTTGCAGGATATGTAGTAGCTAAGGAAAGTTGCTCAACTCGGAAGTCATATGATTATTTGCACCTGAATCAGTAAGCCAAACTTGTTGTTGTGTAGGTGTAGGTAGTACTGAAAAAGGAGAAGTAGCAGCATGCACTACATTCATTGGTGAATTAGAATTCTTCTGAAAACAAGTTTCTGCAGTATGATAAGGATTGCCACAAATCTGACAGCTTGAAGAAGCAACTGCATTCCTATATCTACAGGTATCAGCAAAGTGATTGTTTTTACCGCAAATTTGACAGCCTTGAAATGTGGTTGTAATCCGAAACCGACAAGTAGAAGCCAAATGATTATTCTTCCCACAAATCTAACATGGTTGATTGTGAACACCATAGTTTTGAGCCCTTGGTGGAGATGTACCAAGAATTCCAGGAGCATGGTTCGGTTGAAAAATTTTGTTGTTGCCAAACTTCGAAGTAAAGTTGGAATTGAACCGATTTCTACCCTTATTGTTGTAGTTGAATGCCTTGTAGCCAGTAGAATTAGAACTGCCATGAGTAGTACCAAAACTAGAGAAAGACTGATTCTTTGAAGGAAAACTATTACTTTGTGCCATGAATGCAGATAACACAGGTGAATTAGAGCCTTTCTCAAGTAAATTTTCTTCAGCAAGTAACTGAGATCGAAGATCTTTCAGTGATATCACAGTTTCACGGCCCTTAATCATAGATCTTATGGTATTGAATTCAGCAGGCAGCCCATTTAACGTAAGAATCACAATGTCGTCATCATCAAAAAATACACCAACAGCAGACAATAAATCTCTTGCTTCTTTAATTTTCTGCAAATATAATGTGACTGAATCATTACCCTTCTTAATTGTCTGAAGCTCAAATTTGAGTTGAAAGATACTTGTTCTTGTGATTGTAGAAAACTAGTCTTTGAGGCGAGTCCACAGTTCTTTAGAACTAGTACTTCCAATTACACAAGAAACTGCAGCAGGAGACAAGGTTGCAGTAATTAATTGCATCAACGCTTTATCATGCATCTTCCATATCTTGTAATCATCAGTTGGAACCCTTGTAAAAGAATCACCAGACAAAATTGCTGAACCATCAGAGGAATCTTGACTGAATTGAGCAGGACAGGACATTAAACCATCAACAAAACCAATTATGCTATGACCTTTAAGCATGAGCTGCATTTGGAAATGCCAAGCTAAATAGTTCGTCTCATCCAATTTCACATTAACCGAACTGGAAACAGATGAAATCAAAGAAGTAATTGGAGATTGTAAGATCTGTAACTGAGCAGTTATCACCATTGTTGCAAATTGTAAAGAAATCACACGAAATCTTGACAGAAACCAAACCACAAACAGTTGGTAGGCACGTTCGGAAGATTGAAGAACCGGACGGAGAAGTACAGAGAAAATACCCCAAATAACAGAAAAGAATCAAATCCAATCACAGTATACTAATAAACCAGAAACCAATCACAATAGCGGAAGCAATGAAAACCAAGATCGACAAATCCGTCAAGCTTTTATGCTTGTTCCGGTGATGATACCATGTAAACCATTTGAAATTATCTAAGGAAAGAATTATACAGAAGTAAGAAGGAAGAAAGAGATAGAGAGAGAAGAAGAATGTCAAAGATATTAGAGAGAGAAAACTGTTAAGAACTGTTATATCTTTTCTTATCAGTTACAAATGAATTGTTACAAGCTATATATCCTAACACTTTGTAGCTTACACTCTAAGTAACAATATAACCAACTTAACTATCTTCATGATCTTTTGACACTTGTCCATTTCCTACCCATTGGATCTTAATACTCCTAACACGAAGCACTGTAGAATTTTCAAAACTAGTGAAGATAATTTATCAATGACATACATCCTGTAAGATTGTGGGATCCCGATGTACTATATTATATAACAGCAGTCAATGACCAGAGTCTAGTTAATCTTCCTAAATATTTTTGTTTGTATTTTTTTACAAATAGTAGTGTTAATAGGTTAAATTGTTAGTTGTAAGGCGAGAAAGGAGATGGTGGGGATCGAACTCGCACTGGGGTACACATGCTTGATTGCTTTCTAACACTGCGGTAAAGCACCATGTGTAATAATATAATCAGACAAGTTTGTTGATTTTGTTCTCTATAATAGCTTATGATCGGTGGCAAGCAGCTGCCACTTCCAGAAAATTGGGCTTTGCCCTACAAAATTTTGTCTGACAAATCAAATTTTGTCGGGTAAACAAACTTTACTTACCCAACAAAATTTTTGGTTGGTAGGACAAAGATGTCAGGATTTAGGGTTTACTAAAAATCTTTACGCGAGGGAAAGTGATCGTAAGGCAAGTCAAAATTCGTTGTGAAATTTTTTGACACGAAGAGAGAAAAAATGGCAAGCAATATCTGATGGTTTGCCCAATAAATCTAGTCTTCGTCCGCTAGGTTGGCTTTGCCAGACAACAATGTTTGTTTGCTAAGTTCTACTATCGGTGGTCAAAGGCCCACAATGATGTGTAATAAATATCCACTAACACAAGGCTTGTGTCGATTACATAAACCAGGTGTGGAGCAACTGATATAAGGAGTGGAAGTACGAGCTACACAAGTGCTACGAAAGATGTGCATAGCCTGAGGCAACTCCTACCGTTCCACCTAGGATTTCTGGAGGGTTGGACAAGTGGTTATGGCTGTGCACTCTTTTTTAGAGTGAAAAGTTGTAAGTAATTAATTTTATTTATATTTTAAATTTTTGTTCAATTTTTGAGTTTTTTTTTAGTTATGTTGAAGAATAGTTCTTAATGGACATAAAAAATCGGCAACAAATAAAGGTAACTGGATAAAGAAGTCATACCTTCTTCACTCTAGTTCTCGACCCCTATCTTGCCGAGTCGAGGAACTCTGAGGAGCATTTCCGAGAGGTGGAGATTTGGGGGAGACGCATGCCAATTACGGCAACGAGGATGTGAACGAAATTTATGTAAGTATTCATTTATATGTTGTAATTGTAAATTTCATTACAATAAATAAGGTTTAAAATATGATCGATAATTTTAATCAGCTTCCCTTCGTTTTTTATTTTTTATTTTTTGTAGGCTTCTATGATTCAGAAGAAGGACAAGTACCTCGCCAACCTCTCTAAGCAACAATGGGACGTGCCTATGGAAGAGCTGACAACTGATCAAGAGGTGTCTATCCAGTTGCTGATGGACGAGGTTGGGTGATGGAAAGGCAAGGAAGTTCGTGACTGATAGGGATTTTATTACACACATGAGCAGGCTAAAAACTCCTATAATACTTGCAAGAATTACAAGGTTATTGTAGTATAAATGGATCTCGCAAGGTCGTTCTCCACAGGGATTATTAAATACTTCGAAGCAAACCAAATTCCAATTAATTATTGTAAAGTAGATATTGAGATGATTGATTTTATAAACTACTTAAATTAAAAACGAATTTAATTAATAAAAGTAAACTAATCTGCAATATTAAAGATGAAAGAAAAGGAACCAGTTTTTGAGAAATCAAATTAAGAAAGCACTAGGGTTCCACCATCACCTAGCAATCTTATGAACTTTTACCAATTATTATGATCTACACACGCCACTTTGAAGGTTAGATTTTCCTAATTCATATTCTACTTGGAACCTCCAACATATAACGTATATCTAACATGCAACCTGTCCGGACGTTCGGATCAAATCTGAACATGAAAGACTCATTATGCGTTATGAAAACCCTTTGAAAAACCATGCAACCCTTAAGACGTGGTGTTCATCCTAAGTGAAATTACAATTATTAATCACAAAAAGTCAGCGTCAATTTCAGGGAACCTTCCAACTAAAATTGCATCAAATTACTTTTCTAAAGATCCTAATGGTGATCAGGCATTAAGACAATTAGATAGTTTTAATCCCGATGATTAATAATTCAAAGTATGCATGCAATCAATCATAAGCAATTAAATAAAAATCACATATTCATGCTAAGGCTCAAGGTTTCGCCCTAGCAAAAGGAATTAGTTACGCATATTCATAATTAAAATCATAGAAAATATTATTAAGAAAAGGATTGAAAACACCTTCAAGTAGAAAATCTCCAAGAACCCTAGCAATTTTCTCTGTCTCCAAAGCTGCATAAAAGAAAGCGTAGAAAAAAAAACTAAGAACGGCCAAGCAATATAATTGCTAAGCCATCCACAAACCCTAAAATATAGGTCTCTTATTCCAATTAGGAAACTCAGAAAAATAATAAAATATCTTAGAAAATAAAACCCTAATTAAACTAGGAGAATCTGCCAAGTACTTGTCCATCCACGTTTTAGCCTCAGATCTCCTCCAAATCCGGCCCAAGATAGCTTGTTTTAAAGATCAGGAAACACATCTCTAGAAGGCTACGAAATCATCCGAGGTCATCTTGGGCTCCAAAAACACAATTTAAGCCCAGAAATGTCATTTTCCAGCACCTCGCATCGCTCCTTTATTTTATCGCCAAACAATAACCACTTGGTGGAAAAATCCCAAATTTTGATACGATCAATCTAAGTGACTCACGAACATCCTCCAGCTGGAATTACTCCAAAAATCGTCCATTTGACCACGTTTTACTCCAGAGGAAATCGAAAATCCTATATTATAAATACAATTCAAAGTATCAAAATTCTTCCAAAATATTAACCAAAATATACTAAGAATAGGGTAAAATATATAATATAAAGTCTATTCATCAGCGACCAAAGAGCATGTCGAGTTTGAGAAGTCAAGGGGTCTTTTTCTTTAGCGGGCTTTAATTTATTGATCGAGACTAATTCCAGACTTCAGTAGGCGGGGATGGAGCTAGCGGGCTACAAGGAAGTAGGTGAGCGCGTATAAGAGGAAGCAGCACGCTTGGCATATGCTGCTGCGAAAGATCGAGAATCAGTACACATGTACTTTGTTGTTGTAGTCTAGTACTTCTTAGCTTCAGGCATCAGGATTCCTGAGCCTCTGGCCTAGCTTTTGCAACCATTCCCCCAGCCAGCCCAGTAGTTTAAGTTTTTTTTTACAATATAATTGTACAAACAATTTTATTTTGATGGTAAACATTTTGTTAAATATTTTTAAAAAAAATTAGAATTAAATTTTTTTAATTAAAATATGTCAGCTCGACATACCTTTCGTCGCTAAAAATAGGGTGGATATTGGGATATAATTCACACAACTTTGAATTCAATCTCTTTCAATTCAAGTTTGCAATAAATTCCAACTTTGGATCCTCTTCAGATTCCAACTGAAGGTCCTCATCCAATTCCAAAAGAGAAGCAAAATGGGCGCAAATGAGACAAGAAGATGAGGAGTCTGATGAAGAAGTTCAAGTAAGGCGCAGCAAACAAAACATAGCAGCAGCCATGGTTGCGGCCATGGTGTGTCAGCCAACTGAGGAACAACCTCAATGGGGTGGCTCTATTGCTGGTCGCTCTTACAAACCACGAAACAGAGCAATGACGCATGCCAATCTGATGAACAACTACTTCGACCCCAACTCGGTGTACACAGAAGAGGATTTCAGACGTCGCTTCCGGATGAGGCGTCATGTCTTCGAGCGTTTACTTTGTGATGTCAATCCGTACTTTCGATAGAAGCAGGACAGAGTAGGCCGCCCTAGTTTCTCACCTTATCAGAAGGTTACTGTTGCACTCCGAATGATGGCCTATGGCTCCCCAACTGATTCGATTGATGAAACCCATGGTATGTCTGAGTCTACATGCCTTGATACTCTTCAAGAATTTTGTGACACAATTGTTCAGCTTTACAAAGACGAGTACCTCCGTGAGCCAAATCAAGAAGATCTGAATCGACTCCTTCGCAAAACTGAAGACCTTGGGTTTCCATTCATGATAGGGTCATTAGACTGCATGCATTGGGATTGGAAGAACTGTCCCACCGGATGGCAATGAGGCTTTAGCGGAAGGTCGAGAAAGCCAACTGTTGTGTTAGAGGCAGTTGCCTCATATGACACATGGATCTAGCATGCTTTCTTTGGAGTCCTTGGATCCCAAAATGACATTACAGTTCTTGGGCGATCACCCCTCTTCAATAACTTGACGGAAGATAAAGCACCTCAACTTGACTACTACATCAACGACCGTCAATACAATATGGGGTATTACTTGGCAGATGGCATCTACCCAAAGTGGGCGACACTTGTCCAAGTAATTCCAAACCTTAGGAATGACGCAGAAAAATTGTTTACCTTACACCAAGAGGCATATCAGAAAGATGTTGAGAGAGCTTTTGGTATTCTACAAGCACGGTGGAAGATCATCAGCG